TATGAGGCTTCTGACTTTTTTTCCTAAAATAAACTATACATATACAACTAGTAATGCAAAGCAATTGTGAATGTAAAGTACCACTGTGTACCTATTGAAAACCTCACTCCTCACAGAGCAAAACAGCACATATAGACTCACAAAGTCATTCTGCACCAGCCAAACCACTGAATGTATGAATCACCGATACTTCTAGGAACAGGCATTTCTGTCATCTATAGAAATCTTCAGGTACAGTACGTACAGTACATTGCAGTTTAGTTTTCCTGAACGCTAGCCACACAGCACTGAAAAAGACAATTTAAAATGGTGAAACGTCTGCACAGGAGAATTCATTCTGTTACATGGAAGTACTTTGAGGGGCATGACCACAATAATTGAGGTCTTTTCCAGCAGTTAAAAAATAGAAAAAAAATGATAACAGAAAAGAAATCTGAACACAGCACCTTGTCTTCGGCAAGTAAAGGGTTAACATTCCCAGAATTCATTAATACAACAATAAAGCAACACTGAAGATGAAGAGAAAACTACCAAGAGGGAGAAAAGAGGAAGATTTTCACAAACACTTACCAAAGGTTACAGCCACCAACACGATGCTGGCGGAGGACAAATTTATAAAAACAAAAGTCTGCAAAAAAGTAGGTACCTCCACCTTCTTTTTTTTCAGAGGGCAAATAGGTAACTCTGGTTAAAAAACATTTTACAAAATTGAGTTTTTCAGAGTTGTGGCTGCAACATTAAACAAGCACAGAAAAAAGTGGCGAATTGTCCACACGTTTCTGGTGTGTCTCTGCTGTGCTCCCGGACTGTATCTGATCTGCGAGTCTCCCTGACAGAGGCAGGCAACTGGAGGCTGGGAGGAGGTGGTTACTTCCTTCCAGATGTTCAGATGCAGTAATGAGTTGAGCGCTGAGCTACACACTGAAGCCACAGGAAAAGCTGTCATACAATACCTTCCACACACACACACAAAAAAGAGGCAAAGCCAAACATGGGCAGGAGGGAGTACTTCCCTTCTGTTGTCAAGGAAACTGCCAGGAAAACTACAGGCTCATTAACTGGACTAAGTTTTTCCTTTCATTTAAAGTTTCCCGAGTGTGAATCAAGCATTCCCCAGTATCTCCAGGCTGCCTTTTTGGTAAAAATCATGCGTAAATATTAAGGGTGTCCACTCATCATAAATATATTGTTTATGGCAATGAAGGAATAGAAGTGATATACAGTATATTTATAGTACAGCACTCATAAAGTCAATTGAATATTTTGTTACAACATCCCATAGACATATTATTTAAAGGGGCTTTCCACCCCACTCGGAACTGTGAAGTGTTTCCCGAAAGCACAACAAAAATTGTCCCTAAAGCCTGAGCCTCAGGACCTGCAAAGTTTTGATTAAGCCATTGAGAGTACCCATTTAACATGAATCTGCTAAAGACTCCTTGGAGGATACACACGCTACTGAACAGGCTAATTAATAATTATTTGGATTTTACCATTTCAGTCATTGACATTTAGCAGTGCATATCGAGACCATATTCAAATAGAGTGGAGGCAACAGAGCAGGGTGGTTTTTGCAAGTAAATGTTATTTTTCTGTAAGTGTAATGTGTGTTTAGCAAAGCAGAGCCTTGCTGTCTAATGTGAGAGCTGATTGTGTGCAATGTCAGATAGAGAGGGCACTCGAAACTGCAGCTTGTATAGAACATCATTAAAAAAAGGATCAGTTCTTCACACGCACCCCACAGACCCCAAAGGAGCTTCCTTTGTGCCTGATTGTCATGGCGACACAATGTTTGCTCTTCAAACACAATAGCTTCCACTATATTATCTGCAAACACTGGGAGTTGCTGTGTGGGGGTGAGTTAATATCCTCCAAGGGCACAGCTTGAAATATACTGTAAATCTGGTTACCCTGAAGGGCACAAATTTCCACGTCTAAACCTGACAATACCTGCCCGTGGAAGTGCTTTCATTATTTGGGAACAGATCTTTCGACCTGTCTCCTCCAGGGAGGTCTGTCATGTTTCCGAATCCATGCCAGCAGCTTGGTGTTGTGTTTTGGGCATGAAACTGAGACAGAAACAGCCATAAAGCCCGGCGTGAGATGATAGAGTCCCCAGTACGACATTTAATTAAACTTGTGTCGGACACAAGAATGACAGTGTGACCCCACCAACTCTGTCCAGTTCTCAGACTTCTTGCCTTCATGTTCTTTATTGAGTTCCAGGAATTTAAGTGGTGAAAACCAATTGGAAAATCAAAATATAAAACAGGCAGCTCAGTCAGCGAGCACAGTGAAAGATGCTAATTTCTATATTTTTTATATTTGTTTAATTTTACAAATCAAGATCAAAAAGGATGTCCTGAAGCAGCAGTCTGCACAAAATCATATGTTTTGAGATTCGCCACTTTTGTGGATGTTCACATTTTGTACTGGTCACAGTTCTACAGAGTCTTGCATTTGCAGGGCGGAGCGGTGGCTCTGTGGCTCAGGATCAGTGCCTGTGGCTGGAAGGTTGCTGGTTTGTGTCCCATGGCCGGCAGAGGAATCCTACTCCGTTGGGCCCCTGAGCAAGGCCCTTAACCCCAGCTTCTCCCGGGGTGCTGTGTAAATGTCTGTCCCTGTGCTCTGACCCCAAGCTTCTCTCCCTGTCTGTGTGTCTCATGGAGAACAAGTTGAGGTATGGGAAAATACAAATTCCTAATACAAGAAATTGTATATGGCCAATAAAGTGATCTTATCTTATCTATTTGATTTAAGGAGGGTAAAAAAACTACCTGTAATAGTCCAGGAGATGTCAGACTCAGGTCTATGCTAACGATTGCTTTGTGCTACAAGCTATTCTGTAGGTCTCTCAAGAGAGAGGCTCTTTTTAGATAAGCGTATTTTCATTTTTGTAGAAGAAAGTACAGAACTGTAAAAACAGTGCTTGTAATTGCAGAAATGTAGGCCTTCTGATACCATGGAAGTGATGTTTAAAATGTTCTTGAAATTCTGTCTACAAGTCTTTGAACTGCCTGCTAGTTTAGACACCCATCTATTGGACACGTTAAAGAGAGAACGCTTGACTTCTTTATAAGGCATTGTAGTTTGTTTTTTTAGCTCCGATTTCAGCTCTAATTCTTGCTCCTTATTTGATTAAAAAAACAAATGTTAGGAGCAAATAAGGCACCCTTCCAATGATCTTCATTATTAAAGTAAATATTCTGAGTTCTGTGATCTGTTTGCAGCAGCAGTTAATCTTTCTGTTCCAGTTGAGAGTTTTGAACTGTTCTGGATTTCTCTGCACAGTCCACTCACAGCTGGCAGATGTCCACTGGTCTGTGATGTTGATTCAATGTCCGTAAAGCAGGAGTTTTACAAGCAAAAAATAAAAGTGCTGTGAGGACAACTTTTCTTGGCAAGCCCTGCAGAATCCTATTACTATAGAAGACTGAATGCAGTTAAAACATTTTTTAGTATAGGATGTGCAACCTCTCGGGGCACAAAATGTGAAGCAGATACAGAGATATGTTTGACTTTAACAAATCCTCTGTTCTCCTTCTCACATTCTCATTTACAGTGATGACCTGGAAAGTGTTCCTTGACACAGCTGGGCATTTTGCTGGAGAAATAGAGGTGAAGTTTCTTGCTCAGAGCAAGAGCCTGCAGTGCTTTGCCCACAACCCCGCCGCTACTGGAATTAGAAATTCTGCTTTCTACTTCCAAGCACGGGCTCCTCAACACTAGTCCACCTCTTCCCATAGTCTTACAGAAGCCGAGGAATCAATTGCATTTAAAAATAAAAAAGAAATATCTAGCAAATAACAGAGCAAAGAAGACTAGTCCCCGACAAGACAGCGCTTATTTACTTTGTGGTGATAAGTTAAAGAAAGATAATAAACAATAGCTCCCATCTGGGTTCCAGGGAAAACAGTATAAACACTCCAGCTAGACGCTGACCTTAAGTTCTCTTAAACAGCAGCAGGACTTATTGAAACTGAGTAGGTATTAAGAGATTTTATTTGTTTTATTTGATAAAAATGCTGGCAGGTCTATTAACTGTGTTGCAAATAGAGAATCAGCCTTTCTCAATGACATAAAGCCCATCAGGATGTGTGCCTATAAGCGCACAAAGAAAGCATTGTTTCCTCTTTGCAGCAAGGAGTTTTCAGAACTCATTGAGGCTGGCAGTTTCCTCTGTGATATAATAATTGGCAAGTATAATTCATTTAGTTGAGTTTATATTATATTTCTATGAGCTCATAGCCAAAATAAAGACACTAAAGGAGATCACATCGGGATGCTGGTAGCCATGGGACACATGAGTCATAGCAGCAGCAGTAGAAAATCCACTTCTTCACAACTACAGCATCTGATTCAAAGACTTAATGAAATACATTTTTAGCAACCTTATTTGCTATCTTTCTCTAACTCTTTATCCAACTCACAATCATAGCCATTGGTCCCTCATAACCTAACACACCAAGCCCTCCAGAATTCAGAAAAACAATCTTTATTCTCCCATTCCCTCTAGACTCGCAAATAATCATTTTCATCCAAAATGAGCCTGGGCAATTATTCCTTTTCTTCCTTGATTCTTGATGCTCTATGGATTGTAATGGCATTCATTTTGATGACAGTCAATTTCAGTTCCCTGACGGTAACTCTAGAAGTTGAGGCTGCAACTTTAAACATGAAAACACATGTTCATATCTGAAATCAGGCCGCAGCTCATAAAGTATTGCATGCCTATCTGCCAAGAGCTCTTGAGCATGCATGTGCTTTTATAATTAGCCACGCTGTAACAGGTTTGGCAGAGCTGTATTACCTTTTCTTATGGGATACGGCATGTTTAGTGCTGTGCTCAGTAAGCTTGAATGGTTTAACCCTTCCACCAGGAGAAACCTCAGTGTGTGCACCCCCCCTCCCCCTGCACAGGAGGAAGATTATCTCTGTGGAGTCACAGCTCTATCAGCTACCGCCATCTCTTTAAACCGGAGAGTTAAAAACTATCTTACCCTTTATCCTTTCAGCAAGGTCACAGAAACCTATCCCCTCTTCTGCCTCTAAGCTGAAAGCTTAAGACTTCCTTGTTGAAACCTCTAAAGCAGGGAACATGTGATGGTGATTGGTGGGCCTTCGGTCGGAGGAGGAGGGATGTGTGGGGGTTCAGCGATGCCTGTGAGTTGGAAAGTGGAAAAGAGAGGTCTGTTTAGTATTAAGCAGGAGGGCTGCAACAGGAAATGTTTTTTGGAAGACTGACGCAGTGCCCTTGTGGTCAATACCACGCTCAGTCCTCTCGGCTAGGCTGTTAAAGCCCTCAGTGTTTTCTTCTACAGCTTTGGGGATGGAGGTCATACTGGAACAAGCAGGGATTACGTAAACAGTTCACCACTCTCTTGGACCAAGCTCTTGGTCCACACCCTCTGCCTCTGCAGGTCATAGGAGTGGATTGAGGCTGTGCTTGTCGCATGCAGTTTTGAGATGCCCACTGTACTGGTTCTTGTGGACTTTGTGTTACACACACAGGTAAACTTAAGCATAACAGGTGAACAGTCAATTGCCAGCACTGAGGAGGTTTATTTGCTCACTGTAATAGCACCATGGAAAACTAAGTCGCCAGGATTCATTTAAAGCAATTTTCAAAATCCATCTCAGACTCTGTAAAAAAAAACAAAGGCGATCCAATTGTGTTCTCCAGCTCTCATAAAGCAAGATCACCAGCTGTGATTATTGCTACCAAGCTGGAAAGCATGTGAGAAAAACACTGCGACAAACAGAGCTTCATATGGATTCACCCCATCAGCCTGTTGTTTTGATGTTCAGTTTCAGGGTGACAGCCTCAAGTTTGCTTCAATTCAAACAGTTTATATTAGAGAAAAAGGGATCAGTTGTTATTTCAGCATAAAATATCAATTTAAGATGCAAGAGTAGTTTATACACAAGTAATGGGTTAGAAATATTGCAAACAAGACCTTGGATATTATTATGAGACCAAATCACCGCTCTTTGGAAGACATATAGCCAGCCACTTTCAGCAGCCAGTTTTCACCCTGCTAGCTACCTGGGGAACAGGCAATATTAATGTTCTTCCAACTGATAAGGTGTGTCCAGAGCAGCTTCTCCTCAATCTGTGTTTTATGGACTCTGGCATCAAACATTCAAAAGGCCTTAAGCAATTCCACAGGAAAGGAAAGCTGGGGAGGTAGATACTTTAAAATCACAGCCCAAGCAGATGATTAACTTCCATGTATCTTCACCCCTCAGAAATCTCCTGCAGCAGAAGTCTAAAATATCTACTGCTTTAAAAGGCAAAACTACAACTGGCAGGAGCAGAAAAGCTGTACCTACAAATGGAATAATATAATGGACACGTGTGAAGTATTAAAAGGATTACTGAGGCCGGCCAGACCAGGAAGGACTGCAGTTTCAGCCAACCTGCCACTTTTATCTATAAAAAGATTCACACGAGGTGATCACAGATGGTAAAATTGGTTAATTGCAATGCACATTGTCACATGCTGTTCAATTAGTGGGTTGGTGTAGATAAGGGTGTGTTAGCGAGTGTTTGGTAGTTCAGGTTGGTGTTGGGGGTGTGGGTAGATTTCCCACTATAAAGACTCTTTCAGTATGCTTCAGAAGTCCTAACTAGTTCTTGATGTACTCAGGCACCTTGAACTACCTGACATAAATCAGGCTCTTTTACAATTGTATTTGAGCAACGAGTGTTAGAGGCTTGAGTCCCAAGCAGAAGCAACCACTTATATGTTCCATTGCTGAAGAAGACACAAGCTCTCCCACAAACCTCCTGAACATGCAATGACAGTTGGCAACATGAGCTCTTGACAGTCTCAAGAACCTTTTTCAGGATTAAGTTTTATATTATAATTAAATAATATCTCCAATGTCCCCAGTAAATGTTGCGCCTCCTAATTATGTTTTGTATTGTGTTAGGAACCTGAAATGTCATAGGCTTTGAACACTTATTTTGCAATGGAAGTGCAAAATTGCCTTAAATTTAAATTTGCATTTATTTCTGCTGCACTACATAGGTGATACGTATTGTGCCACTAAACTCTGTAATGAGACCTTTTTCTGGTCCTGTGGAGACAGTAAGAGATCCTCCTACTGAAACTGCCTCTTATTCTGAATAGAACTGCAATCTTTAATATGAATAAGCACTGAATCAAGGGTAATTGTAAGCTCTCAACAGTCATGACAATAGTTTGAACAGATAATTTCCCTAATAACACAATCGTATTTTGGAAGAAAAACTAGGTGATGGAAACATAAGAGTTTATCTTTTGTTAATGAGGTGTTAAACAGCAGAAAGTATAAATAATGCAGCAGTTCGAGAAACTAATTGTAAACCATTAGTGTTTTGAACCCAAATTACAAATGGGTGACACGTGTGCTTTATTGTGCCAGTTTAAAGAATTAACAGCCCTGTCGGTACAGCAGAATTGATTTTCATTATTTCCAAAAATTGCACAAGTGCATAAGGGGAATACTTGTGTGGAAGTGACTTTTTGTCTGCATGTAAAAAAGTGGGAGAAAAAGGATAATTATTCTTCTGACAGTCAGATGAAAAGCAAATAGGAACCAGAGGGAAGAAGCAAGCGGGCCTGATCTTCTGCTCCCGCTGGAGGTGAATGGCCTGCCCTTGACAAGCACCATCTGTAATTTCCAGAACTCGTACACTCTGCTCTTTTGGCCCTTGTTCTCCCACATTGACCTTGTCATTCCTGGATAATTTTGGTCTTGGAAAGCAGCTGTTTTAAATTGCCCAGACTGCATATTTCACAAAGGGGGGTTTGCTAACAAACTGCTTTCCAAAGAACACACTGTTCAGGGTTAAGTGTGTCCAATAGGAGCTGAAAAAAATGCACGTATGCTTGTCCTTTTTTTCTTGCAACCAGCTTGTTTTATTTATCCAGTTTCTCCCTGGGATGTGAGATATTTTAGCATTCTTTTGCAGAAAGCTTCCTATCATTCTCCTCCTGTGAACTCTAAAACACTGTCCAAAATTAACATGTTATCCAGGCTGGTACACACCCAGCTCTGTGTACAGAAACTTAAATGTGAAGTACAAAAAAAGTAAATGAAGTAGAATTATGTGGGCAGTAGAATTTGGGAATTGATTTCACTCTGCACCTCAGCTTGCAGAGAGAAAATAAAATGAGAAACCTGTTCCAGAGAAACAAAAGAATTTTTGACTCCTGATGTACTTGCCTATGATCCTTGTGTGACAGGTCTGAGCTTTAAATGCTAAAACAGTGAGGCACTTTTTCAGCTCATTTTATTGAGCTTTTGTCTTCCCATCTTAAAAATGAAATCTGGGCCACAACATTCTGGCTACAGTTATTTGCATATAGTTTTCTCCTCTCGGGTTTTTGAAAATGGTAAGTTTTAAAGCCTTGTCATTTAGTCCTGCGCACTAAACCTTAAGAGTGCCAGGCGATGTTCACTTTTGTTTTTCATGAGGGGGCATTTTGCAACATGGTGAATATGCCTAGGAGACTGAATTGTTTTGCAGTTTTAAAAGTGTGATGCAAACAAAGACACAAAAACCCAGCTGACTGGAGAACTTTGAATTAGCAGGAGAGATGCTGTCTTCATGTAATGTAAGTCGGCACTTTCTTTTAATTAAAATATTTTCTTACTAGTGAGTACCCTGAAGACAACAGAGACTTTAATTTGTTTTCCCAGCTATGACAGGCAGACTTGAATGTTTAAAGAGTTTGCAAATGTTTGGCAACAGGAATCCGAACCCTTCCAGACCTTTTCAAAAATGCATTCTTGGTTGAGGCTTGAGGCAAGGCTTCATTATCTGACTTTGCCCGTGACAAATAGAACTGTCCAGATAGCTCTTTGGAAGGTTGAGTTTCTACAAGCCACAATTATAATGACTTCACATCTGAAATGTAGGCTTTGAGTTATGTGCGAAATGAGGCCTCATGTGTGCTGGACAAATTTAAACTTAACTCCCTTTGCTAGTAAGCAGTTTCATGCTAACGGATTGAAGTGAAAATTGGTAGTCACACTGGAGACCAGAGAAGGCAGTATGGATTTCAAAGTGGTGAAGTTCCCGATGTTTTGGCTCAAGATATGTTTGGGGCATTACAGTACATTACAGTAGCCTTTGTCCCCAGTTTTCTGTTGCATGATTGATGCACTTGATTTTAAGAAACCTGTTAATGCCTGTTTAAATTCCCTGCTTTCCATGGTACACCGGGTAACAAGCTTTACAAGAAAGCTGGGATAAATGGTTTGGTGCTCCCAGCCGTAAACTCGATTTTCCACCCAAAACATTTTCCAGCACGCCCACCTGGAAGATGTCTGTCTGAAATTAAAGCTATTCCGCTCCACTCGGGAGTTGCAAGGTTACAGTGTCCCTTTATTCCCCTCATTTCTGTATGTGTTAAGATCCTTTTACACACTGGTCGCAGATCACAGGTCTTGCTAATCTCCAGTTTTATCCAGTTTCAGCTTAGAACTGCTGTTGCTGTTCCCAGCCATTTGCACCTCCTGGGCAAAACTTGCTGTTGAAAGCTGAAAGCCTCCTGTAAAGTGATTCTCTAATCCATCATCAGTTTCAACCAAGAGACTGAGGATTTGGAACAGGCACTGTCTGCAAAGTAAAGGAAATGACCAAAGGGGCTTCTTCCACAGCAATCTTTTACTACAAGACATAATTAGGGATCCTGCAAATGGAAGGGAGGAAAATGACAAGGTTCCTTAAAAATGATACTGTACTGATTTAAGTGAGATACTGTATCCACTTCTTGGAGCAAAGAGCAAATCAAGGCAAATCCTGTTGCTTTTTGTCTCAAGCCAAAAAGAACCAAACAAAATAATTGGCTGGACACACACAATTAATAAATATCCCTTCAAATAATTTATTGGCCACTGTTCCATTCTATGGAACACATATGGCCACGATACATTTGACATATGTAAGCAGGATACTGACTTACACCTCATCATTTTCCAGGGCAGCTGGTTATTTTCCTCTCTCGGCCTGTTGCCCACCAACAGGTTTGATAGGATCTCCCATCCCAAGTCAGGCTTTCAGCAGCTTCCCCGAGGGAGTAAACTGCAACTTAGAGATCAGATCAGATCCTTGGTTTGCCCTCAGCGTTCCGGAGCTGATGAACTATTTCCTGAATTTTCTACCTTCCTGCGTGCAAAGCCTATCTTCAAGTGAATAAAGCCATCTTGCAGGCCCACCTCCCTGTTTGAAAGTTGATATATTTGGCATTTGAAGAACAATCGTGTAGATAAAATCTATTTAATCTGCAATGTATTTGGTCCGCAGTTGCTCAGGACAAGTTGTACTCGCCCAGCCTGGCCAAACACCTCTTAAACATAAGAAGCTGAACAAAATGGTGTGCACTGTAATTTGTTTTACAATGCATCCATTCACTATGATATTTGGCTGGGCACTGAAGCATGTGTGCTTCATAAAGGTTTAATGTGATATACCATGATAAAAGCAGGGCGCTGAATCACATTGAAAACAAGGTGCAGCGCAGATAGGCAATCCATGTAATTGTAAATGCACTGAAGCACTCCCGGAAGAAGAATTGCAGCCCCCTGCTGAAAACCCGCAGCTCTGCTTCACCACTCAATGCATGCACAGTCACGTACAAATACAGATTACGAATTGTAAGTTGTAATGGAAAAATAAAATTGACAAAGCAACTGCTCTGTGCAAACTGGCTAAAACCTCAGGAGAACTGCAGAATCACAGTGGGATTCGTTCTCAAGTGTTTAGTAGACACTGCAGATAATTATAAGAAACAAAGTTAAATGCAGTTTCTAAGACTTTGCAGGGTCTCTTTGTTGCCACACCCAAGAGCTGATGGGGGATGGGGCCACAGATAAAAAGCTCTTTGCCTTGGCGTTCACATTTACCCTCTCATTAGAGTACTGCTAGGAGGAGCAAGCCATTTGAATATAATGACAGATAATAACAGGGATTCTAACAGCTGTCAATGGGAGAAGGAGCCACGTTACAGCAGCGTTACATTAAGATGACAATAAAGCAATGGATCTGTTGCTTTCCTTAGCCTGCAGGCATGCTAAGACATTGCCAAGGCAGAGAATTGTTCCTGCTCTGTTATCAGCACACATGGGGGTGTTAAGCTCAATTGCACGCTTTCCCGATTTCTCACCTGGGATGCATTCCTGCCAGAGCGAGGGCTGGGCTCTGCCTCCGGCCGCCCCCCCCCCCCCCATCCCCAGCTTGGCCGCCAGGATCTCTGGCTGTCATGAGTGCTGACACACACAGCAAATTAAAACAAACAGACGGGGCTCTTGCATCAGCAGGGCCATCTGCACTGCCAGCCATTAGGAGTTTGAGCAAAGGTCCCAGCCAACAGGCTGCAAAATCTCTTCCAACAGTAGTAGATAAATAATCCAACAGTATTAGATAAATGGCATTAATCTGTACATTTATGTTACTAGGTAAACAACACAGTAACCTTTTTGCTTGTTTTCATACATACCAATAAATGTATCTGTAATGCACTTTTTCTAGCTGTAAACATGGAACTGCAATATCATGACACACTAAATTAAATTACAGATGCAATATTTTAAATTTAAAAGATGACTGTTTTAGACTATATTCCTACCATATTAAAGACCTTGGCATTTCTTTTAACAGAGCGCTGTACTGTATGACGCCTTCATAATAAATGACAACACTCTACCATATGACTTTAACATACAATGACTTTGACAATTAAGCTCCTTTCTTCCTATACACTAAAGCATGCAAGCAACAGCATGTACATGTAAAAACAGCTCAGCACGAGTAGCAGAAAGGAGACTCTCGAATGTGTCTAATGTGGAATGGTTTTGGATTGTAGCCATTGTGTCAGTAGAAAACAAAAGCTTTATGTTCTCAGTCAGAGCTACACGGGAAATATGAATTTGAAAAAGAAGAGTGTTTTTTTTTTTTTGCTGGCATAAGTCAAATGCTGCAATGAGGACCCAAATCATATTTACTGACCATAAAATACCAAGCTATATAGCACACTATTATATGCAGAAGCCTATGATATTTTATTTTATGTTTGGTGCTGACATGGGAAGACAAAATATTGCTGCCTAAAGTGGAACCATCTGTCAATTTAGCATTCAGAATTTTCTTAGAATACAATGCCTGATTTCATAGAGTCTGGACATCTCTAATAAATCATAAAATAGTGTAGGGTTTTTCTGAAGATAGCACCCAGGCAGGCATCATCCCAAACCCATTTCTGGCTGTCACAGATAATACTTGCAGATTCACTCTGTGCACTGACAGCTGCCCTTCACTGACTACCAGATTACCTTACAGCAAGCTAACAAGTGGGAACCATTTCGATTTCACACAATGTTAAAAAGGAAAAAAAAGAAGAAAAGCAACAGTAGAGACATACTTTCTCATAAGTCATCCCCATATTTTTTAGAAATGTGTGCTACCATCAGCAGTTGGACTTCTTCACACAACTCTGAGCACAAATCAAACTCTGAGAGAAATGATAACGTACATAGGTGGCCTGATAGTGCTCTGCCTCTGAACAAAAACCTGGGAGCTCTGATGGATGGCAAAAGCTCTCAAAGTCATTGGCTGAATATTATGCCAAATATTCTGAAAAATATTTGCTCTTTCTGAAAAGAACGGACACAAAATTAACTATCTGACAGAGCTGTATTGCTATTTTCTACATATTTTTTAAACCTGAAATGGACAATATTAATAAAAAAAAACATCAATCTGAAGCGGAAAGTAAACAGTTCTACCATCTGCACCTACATAATGAAGGCTGAACAGAGTCAAAACCTTAACTGATCTGTCTCAAGCATGCCTTCTCTGTGAAAATGAGCCGACATATTAACAAATTTAAAATAAATATTCAAAGGACTGTTTTCTCTTTAAATATTTTTCTTTAGAGATCATGCGTGACCAGAGGTAAGAAAGAAATTTAAGTCCCCACTGCTTTGTATGCTGGGCCCTAAATAATAAGTGGTTCTTATTTAACATGAGCCTGAAGTAACATTGGAGACCTGGCTAATGTTCATTTGAGAACATGTTCTTAAAAAAAAGTATTACGAGGCAGTGACTACATAAACACAAGAGAGTGAGACCCAGTCCAAAGCCCAGACAGTGAAGCTCACTGGATGACCGCAATCTGTTAAGTGATACACTGTGCAAAGCTTGGAGGGGGCTGGAATGGAGTTTCTGACACAGAGCAGGATTTAATTCTGTATTTGCAGCTGAAAGCAAAACATTTTGTTACTGAATATAAATAGAGCTGAATCCCTGACACCTTCGCTGGAGCTGCAGTTCTTCAGAAAGCTGCTAACTCTCTGCGCTGCTCCAGCAGTGCCTGTGTCTCAGCCAGTCTCTGGAATCACTGACAGCAGAGCTGGCCCAGGGGGTGAAAAGTTGCACTTATTTTACATGTAGTGCGAGTATCATCTTCCCACAGAGCACAAAGATGAAGAGGAAAACCTGAACCTACCGTGCTCTTCTTTCCCTTGCTTGTGGTTTGAGGAAAAGTGTACTCTCTAGCCTCACTTTCCACACCTCCAGCAAAACACAAGCTCAGCTGCAGTCTGCTTGGGCTCAGCCTTTCCAACATGTCTCTCGAACCAGATAGCTGCTTATTAAGACCACAGCCCCAGGCTTACAGCCTGCCTTTTCTTTCTTCACAGACGTCTTTCATGTCTTCCACTCAGCTGAGCCTCAGAAGTTACCAGCTGTGGCTAAAAGATACTCCCAACACTGCAATAGCTTGGAGGGGTGAAGTGTAACATACCAGGAGGCAGGTTAATAAATAACAGAAGTAAAAATTGCTGGCTTTAAAGATTTTTTTAAATCCTACTATGAATGCTTGCAGTGAAACCAACAGCACAAACAACAACATTTAATCTCACAAGTGTTGCCAAGTTGCAATAGCATTTACAGAAAAGGTGAGATTAAATTTATTATCCTGGCAAAACATCAAGAGTTTTTTCCTGTGGCTGTGCTTTGAGTGGTGAAAGAGCTTTAAGCACATTAGCTGACTGGATTTTTTAAGTCTGACAGCAAGACTTTCCATTTCTCTTCTCTTTAGCACTTATATTCACCGGGCAAGGCGCTAGAGAATTTGGAGGATTTGGTTCCTTATATTTGGCTAATTCGAATTTAGATACAAAAAGAGAAATCACGCATGTGTATCCACATCCAGAGAGAGGAAACTAGTTTGACAAATGACCAGAAGCAATGCTATGGTATTCTCAATGAGGTGTGGTGGACACTTGGCTTAAGATGAAACCATGAGATCAAGCAGTGTCTCATTCCTAACACATAAACACAAACAAAGGAATTATGTGCAAACTTATATCTAGACACTTAAAGCCATTGCAGAACAAAGAGATTATCCTAACCTACTGTATTAAGGTTAACATTTCTGAAATTGTGATGGCTAAGACTTAATAAATGCATATCTAAAGCTTTACAATTTTCAGAGTTTACAGTTTGCCTCAACCTTAAGAAAGCACCTAACTGATGCCATCAGAAGCAAAAATCAAGGAGAAAACGCAAGAAAGCAACTAGATAGGCGACAGGCATAAGGTAAGAAAGTCCTTTGCTAAGAAAGTCTCTTGCCCCCTTTGAATTTAATTAGCACAGGAAAAAACAATCCTTCACTGCAGTACTTTACATGAATATCACACACAGGAGAAGGGTTGTGTCATTTCCTGCAAAATTGAACAGAAATGTCTTTCTTCATACATGCTTATTATGACCAGTAAAACTGTATGAGTATTTAACATTGCTGAAATGTTTCTTTGTGCGCTAAAAGAGAGTTTCTTAGCCTTTTTCTGGCTGATGAGCACATTTTCAATCAATCCCAAAAGAATCCCCAATATTAAATCTAAAAGCACATCAAAAAAATAATTATAAAAATGCTGATTTGAAAGGACAAACTAATAAAAGAACTGAAGGTTGTTAGCAGAACTGACCACTGGGAAGGAGCACTGATTTTACACTGACCATTCTGGTCTTGAGGTGACAAAATGTATTCTTGTTTTCACAAAATCCCTGAACAACCTCACACCTGAAAAAGCTGAAGTAGGGAGCTGCATCAGCATGCGTATGGAGCAAGTAAAGGTTTATTCCATGCTGAAAAGAGACACAACGTTTTGGCTGTGGAGCCTTAAAAAGGCTTCACAGCCAAAACATTGTGTCTCTTTTCTTCTCTTTTCAGCACAGATTAAACCTTGTACCTGTTCCTTTGCAATCTCACACCTGGTCAAGCACCAGTGATCTAAAAGGAGAGGGCTCTCCAGTAAAAACTGGCTAATCTGTCCAGAAATTATGAAAAGTCAAAAATTGCTGTTGAGCATCAGAGCATCTCAGAATCCCTAAGGCAAGGCCACAGCATGAGACTTCACCCTTGATGGCATGCCAGTCCATCGTAGGGCACACACAAACACACACAGAAGCACACAAGGACAATTTAGCGTCATCGGTCAACCTTGGCACCTTGTCTTTGGAAAGTGGGATGAAATTAGGGTATCTGGCAAAATCCCACATGATCACAGGGAGAACAAGCTCCACGCAGGAGAAGCCCCAGTGTAGTACCAAACCAAGCACAGAGAGCTGAGAGGTGGTGGTGCCAAGCATGGCTCACTGACAGACTAATAGAAACAAATCATATCTTTCACCAAAAAGATAATGACACTGTAGAGACGGATATTATCTAATATTTTTTCATATAAACAATATTAGAAAAACATGACAGACACATTTTCCTAAACTTAAACCTTACTTCTAGTTAGTGGGTAGATTGGGCATAGTGGAACACACCAGAAATACAATGCGCTGCATTGTTAGTGGCTGGTGCTGAGCCAGTGTGCGAACTACGAATGAACACATGGGGGCTAATTCCACACTGACAAAGTAAAAAGAAGGGAGAGTAATCTCAAAGTCCTTTAGCCATGAGGCTTTCTTCAAACCGTCTGGAGCAAGACGTTGGAGCAGGCCATATTTCAGATAGTTTCACGAGCGTAAATGCTACCAAACCCGTTCCAGAATGTATGCCCCTTTCCTCTCCACAGGTCATTCAAAAACTGAATTATAAGCTCTTGAACCTTAAAGCGAGGTCACAGTAAATCAGAGGAGTGTATTGATGGCTGCTAGGTATAGAAGTTGGCTGCTTTAATGGGGAGTGTTACTAAGACAGACAGTTTTACTGTTTGTAAATTGACAGATACACGACGTTTCCCATGGAGCAGGGACATAGCGATGTGTGTGCACGTGGGGTGGAAGAAGGGGCTCAGTGGGGTGGAATTATTACCTGGTACACTTTGACAGTCAACACAATGTCTGGCTTCTGTCAAACTTTAGTTTACTCCAATGGGAAAGTGGCATGACCAATTAGTGCAGGCGCTCCTGGACTCAGGGGCTAGAACATTATCAAAATTTTAAGGAAGACAGGAAATTCCCTCCCTTTTTTTTCATAAAAAAGCATTTAAGTTTGAAACCATATCTTTTAAATCCAGGGTATTCTGTGTTGGCTTCAGCTAATCTCTGAGAAAAAGGAGAGGAAGGGATAAAAGAGATACTGCTTATTGTTTGGTTAGCTGGTAGTGCTAATAAGAATGCTGCTAATACATCATTTAGAATTGCTTTGGGGCAGAAGTGTTAGGGACACATTGGTTGCTGTGTGCAGCCTGCTAAAATTTGGCTTCAATTACAATAAATCAGTTCGATGTTAATGATGCCTGCCAGTGTGGAGGTATGTGTGTTTTTGTATCTTCCTAAAGTCTTTCCTTAAGTTGATTCCTTTTGAGACATTCTCCTCAGAGAATTGAACAAATGCCACTGTATCCTGAAGTTCATGCACTCAAGTTACACAAGTTGCACTTACCACCACTGTTACATATAAAAAAACTGGCTAACTTACTGTCGATTACAGTGGCTGCGAATTTGTAGCTAAGAAAACACCTTGAGAGCTAGGTGGATCTTGCCAGAATGCTTCTGCAAAGCAATAAACTGGGTGACCCCAATGTATTCCTTAAAAAAAAGTTTTCTATGGCAATGTCTCGAGTGTAGCTCTCTCGTGTATGTCTACCTTTAAAGCTATTTGATTCTGCCACTCCACCCAGTTTGACTTGAGCAAAGGCACGCATTCATCACAGCTTAGGCTAGACCCATAATTTAAACCCCCAGCAACTGAATACTGCCCTACAGAGCAGGTCCCACCAAGAACTCGGAGTTCTGTAAACACCAGAAACTAATTTGGGCCAGGGTTGAGTCTCCTGGCCCAGCGCCGTGTCAGCGTGGCCGCTCTGCGGATTGCAAAACAACACATGGGGAGTGTGGTTTGACTCCATTTTCAGAGTTCCACCACACAGCCAAAGCCATACTTGGCCTGTCATGGTTTGTTTTTTCAATAAACGAAATGATTGTATTTGTGTTATTCCTTTCGGAATGGGAACTGCGGTTGGCGCGCTGTAATAATAGTATCCATTACCACAAAATTATTTTTTGATTTCCGTCTTAGCAGAGTTTACCCTCTCGCTGTGTGAATCTTTGTTTTCTCTGTTGCGCTGCAGGGGAGAGCGAAGGACTCCAGGAAATCCAATAACATTTCACCATCTATGGCAAGAGGCACAGGCAGCTCTTTTTCATGTGTCTAGAGACTGTCTCAGTGGGAAAGAGATAAACAATTCACACTCTCGCTGGGCCATCTACATGACTTCAAGGGCCACAGGCAGCCTTGAAAGCCTCTTTAGGCAGCCCTAGAGAAAATTCCCGAAGACGGGCCAGCACTAAGTTTATTTCATGAGGTCTGAATACTGAATACTGATTTGAAAATTAGACAGTTCAATGCCAGTGGATATCTCAGACCATGCAAGTCATCCACAGGCTCTAGGCTGCCTACCAGTGCATTAGTCAGAAGATCAAGCTGTTGTTAATTGGCTTCATTACTCTGCTCTCATCCCCCACTGATAGCTGGTGTGTGGTGAACATCCTGGCACACTATGGCTGCTGTTGCATCATCCAGGTGGATGCTGCACACTGGTGGTGGTGGAGGGGAGTCCCCATTACCTGTAAAGCACTTTGAGTGGAGTGTCCAGAAAAGCGGTATATACTGCAAGTGTAAGCAATTATTATTATCCTTGAGCAGAGTTGTGGGAGTTCGGAATAAAATCACAATCCTCTGTGCCCTGGTATGAAAACCATATCATCTACTCTTTAATAAAATGTCTGTATCAGATCCCTGGAACAAATCACTAAAAAACCAAATGCTCTTATGTGCAACTTCCACAGGGGGAAGCCTCTTTTCCCAACGGATAAGAAGGCCTATTCTTCATTTCTTTCTTACCTATATTATAAAAAAATGATTACACACATGTGGGTGGCTCAGTGGTGCAATTGCTGTCTCACAACGAGACCCTAGGTGCAATTCCAGACTTGGGGCGCTATCTGTGTTTGTTTGTCACCATGTTTGTGTGGATTTCCTCTGGGTGCTCTGGTTTCCTCTCACAGTCCAAAGACATAGTGCTAAGTTAATTGGCTCTGAGCAAATTGGCTCTGGTGTGAGTGTGCATGTCTCTGTCTGCCCTGCTGATGGACTGGTGTCCTGTCCAGGTTGTACCCTCCCTTGTGCCTGTTACTTGCCTGGATAGGCTCCAGCTCACCAGTGAGCCTGAACTGGAAAAGGCAGTTAGAATATGCATACATGGATGACACACACTGTGTGTTTAACATGTAGGTTTTACATCAACCGGTAAAATACTACC